ACCTAATGGTAAACCTAACTGTAAGGACCCACCCCACTTTGCATCTTAAGAAGACAGAACTCTTGGAATATTTCTTCCAACAGGCATCCTTTATTAAGAGAAAATGGTTGCAGGCATTCTAGACAGGACCCAAGCCCTACGGTTCAAGATTTTAAGGGGTCCCCAGCAGCCCCACCTCACCCCATCATCTTTCCAGCGACAATCCCAGGCACTACATTTCCACCCCCTTTTTCCTCACTGCCGGTGGGAGACTTCAGAGAAGAGCAGATCAAAGCTGATGGCCCCATTCTTATGCTTTAGTCCTTTTGGTGGTATCCACATTCAAATCCTTTGAAGTTGTACCAAAGGGAGGGCCATAAAACCCCTTTGTTCACCCCCCTTCCCCTTCATCGTATGACAGAATCCAGAGAGGGCAGAAATGGGGTTTTCCATAATCGATAAGTAGAGATGAAATATAACCCTCACACTAACTCTAACCCAAACCCTAACACTAACCCTAACACCATTTCTCAGCCGTGACTGCAAACAGACCTAACAGCAATCCTAACCCTAACCCGACTCTAGCCCAAGCCCCAACACTAACCATAATCCTAACCCTAATCCTAACCTTAACCCTAACACTAACATTAACCTGAACAGTAACACTAACCCTAACTCTAACACCATTTATCAGCCATGACTACGAACAGAGCTAATGGTAATCCTAATCCTAACTCTAACCCAAACAACCCTATCCCTAATCCTAACCTGAGTTTAATTTTCATTGTCAATGGGATTTTCCCATGAATTTCACTGCGACCCACAAAAAAGTCTGAACAAAATTGCATCCCATTGTCTTTCCTTTGAGAATATCCAAGAAACTAACTCTAACCCCATTTGACAGCTGTGACTGCAAACACACCTATGGTAACCCTGTCCTTAATATTAACCCTGATCCTGACCCTGATCTGGACCCTAACCCAAACCCAAACCCAAACCCAACCCTAACTAAACCCAAGTCCCAACCCTAACACAATCTTAACCCTAACCCTAACCTTATCATTCTTATCCTTACCCGAACCCTAACACAAACCCTAACTTCTACTAAGTACTAACCATAGCTCTACCCATAACCCTAACCCTAACTCCCACCCTAATTATAATCCTAACCCTAACCTTAAACCTAACCCAACCCTAACCCTAACCTGACATTCACTTTCATTGCCAATAGTATTTTCCCATGTATTTGACTATGGACACAAAAAAAGTCAGAACGAAAAGCTGTTATATTCTCTTTCCTTTGAGAGCATCCAACAATCAAACACTAACACCATTTCTCAGCCATTACTGCAAACAGACCTAAGGGTAACCCTAACATTAACCCTGACCTTGATCTTGACTCTCATCCGAACCCAACCCTATCCAAACCCAAGCCACAACCCTAAGAAAACCCTTAACCTTAAACATAACCCCAATCCTAACCCTAAACTTACCCCTATCCAAATTCCAACCCTAACCCTAACCCGACTTTCATTTTCATTGTCAATAGTATTTTCCCATGTATTTGACTACGGTCCACAAAGAAAGTCAGAATGAAAAGCCATCAAATTCTCTTCATTTGACAACATCCAACAATTTAACACCAACTCCCTTTCTTAGCCATGACTGGAAACAAACCTAATGGTAAAGCTAATCCTCACACTAACCCTAACCTTAACCTAACTGGAACTGAACCCTAACACAAATAGTATACTTATCTCTAACACTAACACTAATCCAACCCCAACCCCTACTCCTACTCCAATCCCCACCCCATTCCCTTCCCTAACCCCAACTGGAACCACAACCCTAATCCTAACCCTAAATACTAACCATAACCCTAAATCCCATCTTAACTCCAACCCTAACACTAACCCCAACCCCAACTGGAACCCTAACCCTAACTACTAACTCTTACCCTAACCCTAACCCATATCCTAACCCTAACCCTAATCATAACTATAACCCTAAGCCTAACTCCCACCCTAACCCCAACCCCAACCGACCCCATCCCTAACCCTAACCCCAACCGGAACCATAACCCTAACCCAAATCCTAACCCTTACCCTAAATCCCATCTTAACTCCAACCCTAACCCTACCCCTAACCCCAACCCCAACCGGAACCCTAAATGTTCAAGAAAGGCCAGACAGGTAAAATGATTGGTTTTTCAGTTTCTCCAAGTTAGGGAGAACAGGATTACGTGTCTGTTTTTTTAAAATTTCATGTCTGTCTCAAAAGTGATTTGTATTTGCTGAATTGAAGTTCGGCATTTGCTATCATGGACCTTCTAGCAAGTAGAACTTGTGCATTGGACTCATTTCTCAGAGAAAGTCTGGGACCGGAAAAATATTATTTTTTCTGCTTCCTATCTCCTCAGAGAAAGGTCAGATGGATAAAACAATTGGTTTTCCTGCATCCAAGCTAGGGAGAACACAATTGTGTCCTTTTTCACATTTCATATCTGTCTAAAGTGAAACATACTTGTTCAATTGATGTTCGGCATTCACTAGTTCTGCATTCGTGTATAATAGGCCTCTTAGCAGTTATAAAATGTCTCCAAGAAAGGCCAGACAGTTAAAACAATTGGTTTTCCTGCTTCTCCAAGCCAGGGACAACACAATTATATCTGCTTTTAACATTTCAAGCTTCCATAAAATAAGGTGAAACAAAGTTGTGTTAAAATATATTTTAATTCTATAGTTTTTGACATATAAAATACAGTGAAATATTTGTAGAGTGCATACTTATTTGATTGAACAAATACATCAACTCTGTGCTAAGTGTACTTTAATGAAAATCAGAAAAAATATCACCTTAACAGATCAGTCTTTTGTAGATTCAAAAGGTCTCAGAGTGCAATTCACTAGGGAAACTGTATTATAACATTATTGTACAAGAGCTGAAGTAATTTCACAAAAATTGCAAAAATGCATTCATAAAAACCACTTATGCATTAATTTAAAATTCTATTAATTGCTTTGACTCTGTTTTTACAAATGCCACTACTCATAAGGTAACTAAGTCCATAAAACTCAAGGCCCGCATAGCATTTGTATGGATTTCTGCAGTTCAGATCTGAGAACACATTCTTCTCGCAAATTCCATGTCTGCTAATCAACAGAGCCATGATGATCCAGAGGAAAAATAGGGCTGCTCCTTTAAGTACAGGAACACCAGTTTGATATTTGTCAATGCCACCAGAACATTTATACCCACGTATAAGCATGGATTATCTTCTATTTATAAGCCTAGAGTATCGTACATCACTGTGTATAAGATGTTTCTTTTAAGTGCATATAGAGATACAAAATATTCCTTGCTTTATTTTCAGTCTAACAGTGTAAAAAAAGCACTTACTGAATCTGAATGAGATTGTGTTTATTCTGTTCCTATAGCACAGTGATGGCGAACCTTTTAGAGACTGAATGCCCAAACTGCAACCTAAAACCCACTTATGCATCATTGAGTGCCAGGCGGTGTGGCCCATTGGGTGAGCGTGGCTGTGGTGGTAACGGCAGACTGGGTGGGACTAAAAAGTTCAATCAATTAATTCCAACTTTACAAGATCTTTTTTTCCCATGAGAAGTTGAAATTGACTGATTGAATCTTTTTTTTTTTTTGCACATGGCGGCGGAGGCCTAAAGCGAAAAGGTTTTATAAAACCCAGCTGAAGGCCTAGGACTGGGGCGACGGCATGCATGCCCACAGAGAGGGCACCCGTGCTATAGGTTCGCCACCACTGCTATAGCACATCTAGTTCTCGCTCATTTTTTTATGCTACACAATAAGCAAAGTTGTCCATTATTATCACAAATGTATTTACTATCTCATGTGAATTAATTTTGACTAGAACAAATGTTTTGTTGCATGAACTTTCACAGGTCACAATCCAATTCAGCACATGCTTGGAAGAGTTTTTCCTTATTGAAATAATGGATTAAAAGATATGAAAGACAGCATTGACAGATGATCAATAACAAGACAGTAAGTAGTTGGATGTAATTCATTTTTTACACAGTTCAGCTGGTTATAAAGGAAGATTGTTAAATGTCATGATAAATGGCATTTAATTTTATTTAATGTTATTGCTAAAATCCAGTTCACCAGTTTATAACAAGTCTATGAAGCTTTTTTGTGATAAACCTGCAACACAATAGTTGTTGGTTTAAAAATAGGAACTCTGCAAAATAATTGAAACACATAATATGAAAGCTTGAAAAGACATCTTTCTGTTCCTTATGAAATAATTTAAATTAGTTTTCATTAGAGAGAGCTTAAACAGAATGAACAGAACAATGGATTTTTAAAAGTATTCTTCTATTAAATTTGAATGAAAACTTCTTTTCTAGCAAACTACTTTCTGATTTAATGAAACTTTGAACTTCCAAATAGAAAAAGCTGTTTCAAATAATCAGAGTTGATTGAAAGGCAAAATATTCCAAGCAGTAAAATAGTTTTGGCTTTTTTCCCCACAAAAAAAAAGGAAAGGAAAAAAGCTCCCCAATTAAATATATATATTGGAAGTGATTTCACAAAACCTGTAGCAGTACAACTAGATTTATTTACTTTAATATAGTTTTGTGTGGTTAAATGAAGTCCCAGAGCTGATTCTTTGTTGCCCATATGAATTCTGCATATGCTATAGCATATATTGATCTAGAACAGGTGTGTCAAACTCGCGACGTCATGTGACGTCGCGCAATGTATTGGGCCAGTTTTGCCATTGCTGGCAATGGGGTGGGCGCGGCTTACACCTGACGCGTCCGGCCTGTGGGCTGGCAGTTTGACACCCCTGATCTAGAATCTGCAAATGAACAAAGAATTGTCCAATGAAACACTTCTGTTTGGCCAATTGTTCTTCCAATTTAATTAGGCCTAATACTTAGTAAATCTACGTTTTAGCTTACACATACTTCAACAACTGCATGTGGACTACACATAAATGACCTTTTTTCTTTTAAAGGAGACCCCCATCTAGCTATCTAGATAACAAAAACAGTTCAAATTTAGAATTTTCTCTAGCCTACTAATTTTTATATTTATATTTATTTTTAATTTAATAACATGATATGTCTTTTGATTTTCAATTGATATAGTCCCAAAACAAGAAAAAACAATCTTCCATATTTTAAATATAGCCTGACATTGTAAATTTCTGAAGATCTAATCTGCTATTAGAGATGACAAGCATACATTATTGTTAGATAACTTCTGTGATAATGGAGGAAGGCAGTACTTCCATCCATAAATGGCATCCATTAAGGTTTATTTATTTTTAACAAAAATTGTTTAGGGTTTTTGCTTTACTTCGCTTTTTTGCCCTTAGATCTAAAGCATACAAGAGTGAAACAAGTCTTTTACATGAACACTAACTTGCAGTGCTAAATTGTGATGTAAGAAACATCAGCTAAGTTGAAAAAAGTGTGCCCATCTTTTCTTACATAAAAAGAAATCATACAGAACTGTATCATTATTGACAAGATCACAGAGATGCTGGAGCAAGAACTGAAAGGCAATTCTCACAAGAACACATTAAAATCCAAATCCTACAAGGAGATATATTTGTGCTTCTCTATATCAATGATTCAAAGTGTTAATATAAAAAGAAGGAAACTGTTTCCCATATTATGTAAAAATGACAAGGTCTTTATCAAAATGATTTGAGCTTTCAGTCTAGTACTGCCAAATGTTTTTAAAAAGTCTGATTTTGAACATAATGAAAGTTGTCCAGTACAGAATATGTAAAAGACTAAGATTTTGGAATCTTCTGCAAAGAGGAAAAGAAAATTGATTTTTTTTAGCTCAGGAATCATGCTCCAAACTTTGGCTATTCAGAAGCTCTTTTTCTTGAACTAATAACAAATACAAGACTGCATGAGACAAAACTTTCCATCAGAGGGCATAATCATCATATTCTTCCTGTGGGCTAAAAGCAGCTGCTCGTAATATTTCCAAAGAATTTACTAAAATTAGGGTTCCAGTCAGATGTTTCCAACGTTTTGTAATAGGATTCTTCATTTTATCAAGACCAATGTGCAGCTCTTGGGTAACATCACGGTAACTGTCTCCCATCTGATTACTCCATGTTAGCATGAAATCATAGGCTGGTTTCCACATTGCCTGTCAGACAGAAACCAAAATTAACAAGGACTGTTTATTACTAATTCTTATATAGTGGTAAAAAATCAGAAAGCATCTGGTAGCAATTCTCAATTAACAAATGTTATTAAAAGGTGCTACCAGACTCATTGTTTGTTTTAACACTATTCACTAACACAGCTCTCTTTAACAGCAATTTTATATAAAGATATTTTTAATATTTTATCTATTTTTATTGTGGAATATGGAAGTCTAAGTGGCATAGCCTAATCTCAGGCTTCCTTCAGTGAAAATTGGAAGAAAACTATTCTAGAAATAATATAATTTCTAAATACCATTATAATTAGCTAAATGTATTTGTACTGGGATGTTTTTCATAATATCTGCATTGGGAAAGGATAAAAATAATGAAAAGATCTCAGTTATGGTGCATATACTAAATCAGTGACAGCAAATCTTTTAGAGACTGAGTGCCCAAAGTGCAACCCAAAAATTTATCGCCAGGTGCTGGGTGGGCATGGCCGACTGGGTGGGCGTGGCTCATGGGGATACCTGTGGGGGCTGGGCAGGGTTGGGGAGATCCAGGGGGTCTCTGGCAGGTGGGGTGGTGGGCTGGAGGCTTGTCCTGCAGGGTGAGGGCAAGGTGAGACAGGGGCTGGAGCAGCTGCTGCCTCACACCATCGGCACCCCCACACAGAGGCCAGCGAGCACATGGGGGCCAACGGTGTCCGTCAGTAGCCACAGCCTGCTGGCTGTCCTGCATCATGGCAGCCCCATCAGCATGGGCAGAGTGTAGCCCCATCAGCATAGGCAGAGACAGCCCTGGGACGGCCGAAAAGGAGCCCTCACCTGGTGCGGGTCCTGTCTACACGGTGGCTCTGACAGCGGCTGCTGCTCCTCCTGCTGCTCTGAGCTCCTTGATCGCCAATCACACAGGGAAGCAGGAGGCGGCAGCGGTGATCCCTGTATCACCAAGCCCGGCTGGCAGCAGATCTGGAAGCAAAGCTGTGCTGCCCAATCTCGTGCTGGTAGAGGCAGTGGCGGGGAAAGGTGAGCTGTGATGCACACCTACCCCTTCTCGCTGCCACCCCACATTGTCCTGCATGCAAGTCCCAGAGGCCCATGCAGGATAATGTGGGGCAGTAGCAGCAAAGTGTGGGCGCATGCAAGATTTGCCTTCCCCTGCCACTGCCACCCCCACCAGTGTGAGTTTGGGCGGCACAGCTTTGCTTCCAGATCTGCTGCCTGACACCAACAGCCCCCACACACAGAGGCCAGTGACGGTGTCCATCAGCAGCCACAGCATGCTGGCTGTCCTGCATAATGGTGAACTAGCCATGGAGCCCTATCGGCATGGGTGGAGATGACTCTGGGATGGCCAGAAGCCCTTGCCCAGCCTGGGCTCATCCACTCGACAGCTCTGACAGGGGTGGCTTCTGCTGCTGCTCTGATCGGTCACCATGCAGGAAAGCAGGAGAAGGTGGAGGGGCAGCCGAGGGTCTGGAGCCGCCTTGGCTGCTCCCTGGTAGCCCGACGAGGCAGCAGATCTCGTGGAACAGCTGCCCCTCCTGCTTCCCTGCATGGTTGACCAGTTGGAGCAGAAGCAGAAGCCGCCCCCATCAGAGCCATTGAATGGATGGGCCGGGCTTCCTTCCAGCCGTCCTGGGACCATCTCCGCCCGTGCCGATGGGGCTCCTTGCCCAGTTTACTATTATGCAGGACAGCCAGCATGCTGTGGCTGCTGATGGACACCATCAGCCCCCATGCGCTCACTGGCCTCTCTGTGCGGGGGCCGATGGTGTCAGGCAGATCAGGAAGTGCTGGTGGGGGTGGTGGGGAAAAGTGGGATCTGGCATGTGCCCATCCTTTGCCACTGCTGCCCCACATTGTCCCGTGTGTGCCTCTGGGACAGGCGTGCGGGATGATGTAGAGTGGCAGTGGGGAGGGGTGGGCATGTGTTACAGCTCACCTTCCCCTACCGCTGCCTCCACCAGCGCAAGGCCGGCTGGGCTTGGCAATGCAGGGATCACTGCTGCCGCCTCCTGTTTCCCTGTTTGGTTGGCTGGTCAAGGGGCTCGGAGCAGCAGCAGGAGCTGCCGCCATCGTAGACAGGGCCCGCACCAGGTGAAGGCTCCTTTCTGGCCATCCCAGGGCTGTCTTTGCCCACGCCGATGGAGCTGCACTGCGGAAGGGAGATGGCAGCTCTGATTCTCTCCTGCCAGTCGCCCCTTCCAGCTCCCTGCCTGGTTCCCTTTCTATGCAATTCTACATGACAACAGTGTGGATGAGAGGCTCGGCTGGTAAGGGGGGTGGCTTTCTTCCGTGGAGGTGTCCCGCCCCCCCTAGCCAGACCCTGTTGTCTTCTCCCACCTGGGACCTGATGACCCCCATCCTCCTGCACCCACCCCAGCTGACCCCCGAGCAGCCCAGCCCGACCAAGATGGAGGGGAGGCAAGGCAGAGAACTGGTTGTTAAATGATTTGAAACCCACCACTGGTCACTTCCAAAGGCTGCTCACTCACTCTCCTGCCAAAACTGCTCCTTTTATAGATTCCCTCAAGGAGCCTATTACTATTGGTACTACCCTGGCTTGCTTTTGCCATGGTCTTTCTATTTCTATTTGTAGGTCTTTGTATTTTGTTATCTTCTCCAGTTCTTTCTCGTCTATTCTGCTGTCTCCATGCACTGCCACGTCCACTATCCAAACTTTTTTGTCTTTCTTATCGACAATTGTTAAGCCTGGGGTGTTATGTTGCAGGTGCTTGTCTGTTTGAATTCTGAAGTCCCAGATCAGTTTAATTTTATCATTTTCTATGACTTTCTCTATTTTATGATCCCACCAGTTTTTGCTTACAGGCAAATGATATTTTTTGCAGATCTTCTAATGCACCATTGTTGCTACTTTGTCATGCCGCTGCTTGTAGTCAGTCTGTGCAATCTTCTTGCAACAGCTTACCAGGTGGTCCACTGTTTCTTCAGCTTCTTTGCATAGGCGGCACTTACTGTCTGTTGCTGTCTTCTCAATTTTGACTTTATATGCATTTGTCCTTAAGGCTTGGTCTTGTGCAGCCAGAATTAGTCCCTCGGTCTCTTTCTTCAATTTTCCTGCTCTTAGCCATTGCCAGGTCTTCTTATTATCTGCTTTCCCAGCTATTTTTTTAATGTATTGGCCATGTAGTGCTTTGTCTTCCCATGCCTCTATTCTGTTCTTCATTTGGTCTTTCTTGTAGGCCAATTTGGTCTCTCCAGTAGTCAGTAAGCCTTCCTGATATACTAATTTCAGTGCATCTTCATCATTGTTCTTCAGATATTCTTCCAAAGCCATTTTTTCTTCTTCAACCATCTGATGTACTTGTAGCATTCCACGCCCACATATTTGCCTTGGTAGATAAAGTCTATCAATGTCACTGCGTGGATGAAGGGCATGATTCATTGTCATTATTTTTCTGGTCTGCCTATCCATTGCTTTTAGTTCTGCTTGAGTCCAGTCCACTATTCCAGCTGTGTACCTAATGACTGGGATTGCCCAGGTGTTGATTGCCTTTATGGTATTTCCTCCATTGAGTTTGGACTTTAAGATCTTCTTCACTCTCTTGATGTATTCACCTCTAATCTTTTTCTTGACTTCAGTGTGCTTGATGTTGTCAGCTTGAAGGATACCCAAGTATTTGTAGTACTCTTCCTCATCCAGACTCTTAATGTTATTTTCGTGGGGCATCTTGATTCCTTCAGTTTTCACTACTTTTCCTTGTTTGATAGTAAGTGTGGCACATTTGTCCAAGCCAAACTCCATAACAATATCTTGGCTATATATACGGACAGTGTTGAGCAGCGATTCTATTTCAGATGATGTTTTCCCATACAGCTTCAGATCATCCATGTAAAGGAGATGGGATAGTCTGGTAGATGTTTTTGATGTTTGATAGCCATGTCATGAGTTATTCAGTATTGTTGACAGAGGAAACAGTGCAATAACAAATAGTAATGGTGATAATGAATCTCCTTGAAATATTCCTCTCTTGATATTAACCTCTCCCAGCTTCTCACCATTGATCTGCAACTGTGTCTTCCATTGTGCCATCGATCTTTGCACAAATTTTCTGATGTTTCTACTGACTCCTGTTATTTCTAGGCACTTTATTATCCAATCATGTGGCAGAGAGTCAAATGCCTTTTTGTAGTCAATCCATGCCACATTCAGGTTGGTCTTCCTTCTCTTGCAGTTTTCCAAGATCATTTTGTCTATTAGGAGTTGATCTTTTGTTCCTCTGCTATTGGGGCGGTTTCCTTTCTGCTCAGGTGGAAAGAGATTGTTTTCAACTAGATGCTGTTGTACTGCATCAGCTACCACACCAGTTAGTAATTTGAAAGTTGTTGGTAAGCAGGTAATTGGCCTGTAGTTACCTGGTGTTGCCCCTTTTGCTGGATTTTTCATTATTAGGTAGGTTTTCCCAGTTGTTAGCCACTTTTCAATTTCTCCTCCTTGTAGTATATTGTTGAACTGCTTGGAAATCAGTGGGTGTATAACAGTTGGATGTTTCAACCAAAACCCATGCAGTTCATCTTCACCTGGTGCTGACCAATTTTTGATTTTCTTGCTCTTTTTTCTACCATTTTTGTTGTTATTACTAGTTCTTTCATTTCAACTTCTGTTTTATTTGCATCCACCTCTTTTAACCAAGCCGCATCCTTGTTGTATTTCTTTGGGTTATCCCATATCTGCTTCCAGAACTGCACTGTTTCTTCCTTGTCAGGTACTGACTGATTCCTTGCAGTTTCTCCATTGATGGATTGGTAGAAACGTTTCTGATTGGATTGAAATTGGAGGTTCTGCCTATAGTTTGCAATTCGAGCTTCATATCTACTGATTTTCCTGGCTATAGCTGTTATTTGTTGCTTTATTATTTCCAGTGCTTCCTTGATCTTCCTTGTTTCTAAGTGGTATTTCTTGATTAGGTATTCTTTGGTCTTCTTGTTCTTCAGCTTCTTTTCTTTCATCTGTTCTAGCTTGCTTGCATGTGATCTTAACTTGCTGATCTTATTTTCTAGTCTAACCTTCCATTTTTCTGGTGCACTGTTTGTTTGTTTTTCTTCTTTGTTGATTTTGCATCCCAGGTATTCAGTTATAACTGCAGTTGTGCTGTACATTAGTTGGTTTGTTTCTTGCAGTGAATTGGTGCTTATACTTGATATTGCAGTATTTGCATCTTTTAATGCTTGTGCTAGCTGTTTCTTTGGAACAAGCTTCAATGCAGGCAGCCTTATTCTGTTGTTTTTGTGCTGTTCTAGATGTTCAGTTATTCTTTGTTTCAATTCTTTTATTTCTTTAGTTAGAGGGTTTTGTTCTTCCTGAGGAAGAGGTGCCTGGTTTCCAAATGAGAACAGTTGTATATCTTTGCTGGATTCCTTCACTGCCAACTCCCCCTGGTTTGCCTCTACATTCTGAATGATTTCTGGTAAGGCTTTGATTTCTTTGCCCGGGGTAAACCTTTGCAGTTCGTCCAATTCGATTTCTGTGAATACTTTATTTTGTATTATAAATCGGCGTTGATCTGCTAGTCTCTGTTCTGTTATTTCTGATTCTGGATGTTGTTCTTTCCAGAACTGGTGCATTCGTTTTAGATATCCTCTTCTTGTTGGACTTGATCTGTAGTAACAGATCATTATTTCTTTGTTTTCAATCACTGTGTATCTGCGACGGGTAGACACCTTTTCTTCCAGTAGTTCTGCAGCTGCTGGCCCTGGTTGCTCAGCCAACAGTCCTGAGTCCTGTAACCCATTTTTCACCAGATATCCAGGAACTCCAATATCTAGCGCGGACCTTGTTAACCCGGGCGACATCCGAGCTGGTATGGCATTCTGAAATTTACGTCTCACCATATTTTTTATGGGAGAGACACTCCTTGTCTGACTCCTCTGATGAAACCTGTCTAGTATGGTTGAACCTCTGGCATAGCTCTCATCTTCCTCAGAGTACACAAGTTATTCCTTCTTGGAGGGCGCTTGCATGGTATCTGAAGCAGAACGACTAGATTCCGTAATAGCTTTGTACCATACAGGATCAACCTTCTTTAACTCTCAGGACTCTGTTTTCTGCTGTGTATTCTAGATGGACTGTGATTAATATATATATATAAAATTTGTGGTGGGATTCAAATATGAGAACAACCAGTTCTCTGTGTGGATGCCATTTCTGGAAGTCTGTTCTGGGCCTGGGCAACAAAAAATTAGCTGCTGATTCTGCCGAAGTGGTGAGAACCGGCTGAATCCCACTACTGTATATAATGTGTATGTTTGTGGGTACCATGTGTACATGTATGTGTATGTATGCCTATGGGTATATACATATATGCAATAGTGGTGAATATCTGCAGCCTGGGTGTAGGATGAGGGTGGAGATTTGTTCTCTGAGCTTGTGGGAACATTTCATTACCAGGGTAGGTAACATCTTCAGTGGTGTTTTAGGGGATGTAAGTGTCGGTGTTGTTCTGTTTATAAGGGCTTCGGGTGTGGATATGTCGAGTGAGGGCCTTGTGATGGATCAGGTGTGAGTCATCAGTGAGAGGCTTGTGATGGGTCTTGTGATGGGTAGGTTAAACTAGGTGAGGGTCATCGGGAGGTGAACTGCTGGTGTCCTGCCTTCAGGGGCTTTGGAGAACAGTTGACCCCCTCCTCTTCCTTGTGGCAACCCCTCAAATATTAGAAGATGCTATCATGTCACCCCTCATCCTTCTCTTCATTATAACCATATAAGAAATGGTTGCTGGAATTGGGTATGTCCATGTTCTTGGCTGTGCTGCTCTGTGCAGGCCACGTCCGGGGGCGACTTTCCTCCAGGGGGGCTGCTGATGAGGAGGGGGCCATGGGGGGAGGTGGGGCTGGGGTGATGGCGCAGAAAGGGCTCTGAATGCCCCCTCTGGCATGCATGCCATAGGTTCGCCACCACTGTACTAAATCAAGACTTACCCAGCTTACTTTATATCTTGCAAATTATATTTAAACTCAAGCATTTAGGATTGGACTGGATGCCTTTCCTTCTTGGCTAGCTAACACAACTAAAGTGGTGACAGGAGATTACACGTAAATGGCAAAGATTACACCTTTGAGAGAGGCGCCTTTCACTCTGAAAATTAAGAAGCCTTAAGAAATCAGTGTTCATCCTGATTAAACTTTCCAATGTCAAACCTTTCTTATTCAGGAAAACATATGGAGAGGATAAAAAGATCACAATTACAGAGGCTTGTGGGGAAAATGGATGAGCTGGATCCCTATCAAAAGTGACAAAGTACAGGTAGTCCTCTCTCACCCCCTTTAATATCATCTCTTCCCCCACCCCCTTTAATATCATCTCTTCCCGACCTCCTTTAATATCATCTCTTCCCCCATCCTCTTTAATATCATCTCTTCCCCACCTCCTTTAATATCATCTCTTCTCTCCCCTTCAGCAGGACCCAATGCCCCTTGCAGCTCCAGCTGAATCTCTGCCTGAAGACTGCGCAAGGCTACCTGCCACCCCCAATCAGCTGGAGCAGTGCGCGCTGATCCTGGGCTCTCAGCAGGACCCAGGCAATTGTTGCGCAGCTCCAGCTGAATCTCTACCAAAAGACTGTGTGAGGCTGCCTGCCACCCCCAAGACCGCCACCAATCAGCTGGAGCTGCATGCTTTCATCCTGGGCTCTCAGTAGGACTGAGGCAATGTACAGTTCCAGTTGACTTTCCCACAAGCCTGTGTGGCACTGCTGCCGCTTCACCTCATCCACTTTTACACTTTTTTTTACATTTTGTTTTTAACAGTGCTGTTCATCCCATTGTATGCGTACCACCTGCCAGGTGCCAACGTACTACTAGTGGTACGCGTGCCACCGGTTGAAAAGCCCTGGACTGGAAGATCTCCAAGGTCCATTCCAGGCCTATGATTCAAGAAATCAACATGTTGAGCCAATGTATTACAGTTAGGTCTGAATGGGGAAGAACAGAATTAGGCTGAATTCTAAGACCAAGTAGCTGTGGATAAGACGCTTAATAGAGATAGTTAATATATAATTCTGAATGATGATAGTTCCCATATTGAGCTAGTTTGCAGTCTGGGAGATCTCCTGGACTTGTGGCTCCTGCCTGAGCATAAAACAGAGATTATGGTCAGGACAGCCTTTGCACAATTATATCTTATACTGTATATCATTTGTATTCCAGTATTTGAGGGGTGCCATAAAGAAGAGGGGATCAAATTATTCCCCAAAGCACCAGAAGGCAGGACAAGAAACAATGGTTGGAAACTGATCAAAGAGAGAAGCAACCTGGAATTAAGGAGAAACTTCCTAACAGTGAGGACAATTAACCAGTGGAACAGGTTGCTTTCAGAAATCGTCGGCGCTCCATCACTGGAGGTTTTTAAGAATAGACTAGACAGTCACTTGTCAGAAATGATATAGGTTCTCCTGTTTGAGCAGAGGACTGGACTAGAAGACCTCCAAGGTCCCTTGGAGCTCTATTCTATTCTATTTGCTGGAGTAGCAGTGGTTGTGCACACACATTCCTGTAATCGTGCAATTGTATTATTATTACCTATGCTAAATGAGATTGCCATTTAAGACTATCCAGAAACTTAAGCAGCAATCCAGTAGTGATTGTGACACTTACATTTGCACCCATAAACCCTTCACTCTAAGAGTTACATCAGCCGCCGGTCAGCTTCCAAGTGCACTGCAAGGTGCTGGTTATTGCCTTTTAAAGCCCTACGTGAACTGGCTATCTTCAAGATTTTCTGCTCTGAAATGCATCTGCCCCTCCTATATAATTAAGAGAGTGAAGACTTGAGGATTTTGTCACTAGGGAGTTCCACCTGCAGTAGTCTTGCTTTCTCATTTAAGGATCTCCTCCTGTGGAATAGCTGGCTTTCAATTATAGAGACCAGTATCTCCCCAATGCAGGGATGCAAAAAACTTAGCTCTTGGAAAGAGCATTTGGGAAATATTAAATATGGGCCTGCTCCTATAAGTTTGTTTCTGACCTTTGTTTGTTATATGTGGAGCCACAGGAAAGAAGCATGTAAAAAATAAACCCTAGTCTTGCAAACAGACTTGTTCAGGTCACACTGTTGTTCTTTTAGTATTATGTGTTGTAATCATAGTCTAATGATGAATTATTCCTGCTAAATATGAATGTGTTAAATTGAACCATTCTGTGTGCATGACATGTATATGATCACAGAAGGATCTCACAATTACTATAAAATCTGTGCTGATCTTGGAAGAATGACTGTATTTTTTCACTGCAGTGGCTGTACAACAAAGATTGCTTCCTTTTCTTAGGTGGACTGTCTTTATTTCAGAGGGGAAAAATATGTTGAACATAGTATGAAGCACATTTTCCAAGTTACTGAGTTAATTCAGTCTTTCTGGATGGCCTGAACATAATGTACTTTTTACCTCACTATCAACTGCACCATTCTTATCCTGATGGGGAGCTTCATAGGCATCCATCTGTTGCTTAGAAACTTTAGCCAATTTCTCAGCAAGTTCTCTCCAGCGCTGAGACACTTCTACAGCTGTAGTCAGAAGAACAAAATCCTGAATTAGCTTGACAACCAAGCCTTGACAGTCCATTTTCAATAATGCCTGAGAAATGAGAAAAAAAAAACTAGATTAGTCATTGAAGTTTTGGAGAATTTACTGTGATTTGATAATTGGCAAGATACACCCATACACACCTGTTTTGTTTATATACTTTCCTACACAAATGTACTTTTCTTAAATTTATGATTACATGAATAGCAAAAATATGCACAGTTCTAGGAATGGAAGTCATGCATTATTGAAAAATAATTTACCAGCTCTACTTTAGAAAAGACAGCTGATTGATGCAAACTTTAGTAAACCAAGCCTACATAATGTAGTTTGAAAAAGCCAAAGTTGGGTAGAATTGTTTGGAGTTGTTCCAGATGAGAAAACAAGAAACAGTGGATTTAAAGCACAAGAAAGAATTTGGATAGATGTCAGAGAATATTTTCTAATGGTAGTAGTTGTTGAACTATCTCAGGAAGTGGTGCATTTTTACTGGAGGTGTTGAAACAGCAGCTAGATAGTCAAGTATTGCCTTAAGAGTGGAATCATACCCTGGCCCTTAAAATCAGGTGAGGTCCACACAACATGTGTAAAGTCTAGTACAATTCTTGCTGCGATTAACTTTGAATCTATATTTTTTAATGGACCTGGATACTTTTATTTAAAATATTTCTTCCCATTAAAGAAAACTTTACAATTAAATATAGCTCACAGTGCTGGATGCACAATCAAAATTTCACTTCACAACTTTCAAATAATTTTATTCTATTTCCAATGAAGGTTTCTTATTAATTTTACTAATTTTATTTAGATGTGCTTTTGTCAAAGAAGTGTTTGATTAAAACTAATGCATTAGTTTCTGCATTATATCTTCATTTTCCTTAGTTATGTTTTTCTATTAGTTAGAATCAAGACAAGGATAGCTGTTTCCCTTGTTTTTTCTTTCATCTTCTGAGTAGAAAAGACGTCATAATTGTCTGAAAGGACCATGCTTGACAGAGTTTTGTCTCTCAATAGATAATAGAGTTATTTAAAGTCCCATTACAATATTATGCCTTTTTGAAAGATTTGCAAGTTGCACTTACAGAGCACTATTTGCATTTCCTTAGTAAAATGGGCAATTATAGACACTAATATTGCTTTGGTTAACCCAGATGCTCTCTACAGTGCTACCAAGTTTGTTCCTTTGTATGTTAGTATACAATGCAATTCTCCCTCCCTTTCGATTGTATATATTTCTTCCAAATAAAATATATTCTTCTGTTGCTGTACTTCAGTTATGATACTCATCCCATACCTCTTAATCATGTTTGTCTTTCTGTACTAACAATTTAAAGGCTGGATAGTATTTTGGAGATCACCTAATTCAATTTCCTTCTCAATCAAAGAATTCCCTATTAAAGCATCCCTAGCAGAAGTCCATCCAGCTCTGGCTGAATACAACCAGGCAAAAGAAATTTCACCATCTCCTGATAAAAACTGTTCCATCATTGAATTGCTGTTGCAGTTAGGAATTTTTCCTTGATTGCCATACAAAATCTACTTTCTTGTAATTTAATCCCATGTCTTACTGTCATGTCTTCTAAGCACTCTGAATAATTCTGCTCAGTCTTTGCTTTCTAAAATTATATTTTGTTGACTCTTTTTCCTATGTAGAGTTAATATTACTATTCATTTTCAATAGTGCATGACTGCAACTCTTGATATTAGGGTTCCTAATTCCTTTGGGGCACTTCCAACTGGCAGAACATAATCTAAAAATAGCCTTATTTTTAGCCTAATAGCCTAATCTTCCTGCTTCTAATGTGCAAATTGCATGCTTTGCTTGCCCAGAGTAGCCATGAACATCACTTGGTCAGAGGCCATTCTGCATGTGATACAACAGCTAATTTATTTAATAATATTTATAACCTGCTCCTTTTGTGACAATAAAGTCAAAACAAAAATGGAAACTAAATATAAACAATTAAAATAATGTCACTAAGGGGGGCGGAGCCAGCTGTCAGAGCGGGCGGCGGTGTGGATGGTTTCACCGGCATCGTCGAACGCTTGTTCTAGGTCCGCGGGGCTCATCTGAGCAGAAAGAAGCCTTGTGGGGGCGTCAGAAGGTGTGGGTGATCTGCTGCTCTGTCGTCGGTGGCAACTGGCGAGGGGTGGCGGACAAACCCAGTACCGAGCGGATCGGAAAGAAGATGGCCTTAATGGCTGCCAAAGTTGCCAGTTGGACAAAGTAAGCGAGGGACTAGCTGAACAACGGTAAATCAGACTTGATCAAATTGCTTTCCCCAGAACTTTGCGATTTGTTTATGGTAGACGCATTAAAGGACAATTGTGGAGAGGGAAAGCCTGGAAAGAGAGAAGTCGAAGAGTGGAAAAGATAGCGGCGAGCCAAAGTGGCAGGAAGAACGCCCGGAAGGGCTTGGCGTGGAGGAGCCAGGCTACTCTGGATTTAAAGACTTGACGCTTTAAATCACATAAAAAGATAGGAATTAACTTTTATTTATGTCAAGAACTTTATTTGTCTTCGGGCTCGATTTGTCTGCTGAGTGGATTGGTCGGTTTAAAGGGGACGATCTTCTTCTTTGGAACTCTTGGTTTTTTTTTTTCTTTTCTTCTCCCCGGAAAGAAATAGAAACTCCATGATAGAATGTAACTGGAATGCTATAGAGACTTTTAATTCTTGGAAACGTTGCTGATAAGATTGTTGGTTAATATTTGGTTGTATACCAATGGTATTGTTGATGGTTAAACATCTGGAAAGGGAATAACGTAAAGGGGGTGAAAGTGGAAGAACGGAAAGAGGGAAGTGGAAAGCGGACATTTTGGAAGAAGAATAAGTGGTGGGAGAGTTTATTTAAAATGGCAAGTAATCCAAACTCAGTCAAGATTGGTGGAGGGAAGAAAAACGTAGTTCAAGGTTCCAGTCCAATGATTCAAAGACCATCAGATGTTATGCTTTAAAAAGAAAATCCCAACCCACTTAACGAACTGCAAGCAATGATGCAGGCTATTCAGGAAGTCATGATGAAGAATCATAAAGAAATCAAAACGGAACTGGAAGCAGTCAGGAATGTCACAGGAGAAATGAGAGAGAAGATCCAGGAGATGGATGGCAGGCTTGAAGTTTTTCAACAGCAAATTGTTAAAAATGAACAGAAATTGGTGGCTATGGAGCAAGATTGGATGATGAAGAAAAGAAAGTGGAAGAGATGGGAAAAAACTTAATGGAGGCTGATAAAGAGTTAATGACAGCGGTGATACTTTTGGAAGCGGAGAAGGCGTCCCAATATCTTAGGTTTCAAAATGTCACTGAAGAAAGAGGAGAAGATCTCTCAGATAAGATGGCTGGGTTGCTAGCAGGAGCTTTAGAGAGAGAAAAAGAAGAGATGATTGCTGAAATGGATGAGACTTATAGAGTGCAAACAAATTATGGAAGATGTCATAATCTTCCTAGAGAGGTCCATGTTAAATTTATAAGAAAGAAGATTAGGGATGAATTGTTATACAGAACACGTGATGACCAGTTAGAATATGGAGGGAAACAAATTATTGTATTAAAACAGGTACCTAAGAGGATGAGAGACCTCCAGAAAAATTACCTCTTCCTGATATCTAGGCTACATCAAAGTAATATTAATTTTAGGTGGCTAACACCTGAAGGGATTATTGTGACCTGGCAGGAGAAGAGGTTTAGGTTAGACACAGTTGAGAAAGCGGAAGATTTTTATCAACAATACTGTACATCAGAGGAAGGTCTGAGGGATCCTGGAGAAGGAAGAGATATGGTAGTAAAAAGAAGGGACGTTGAACAATTGTTGGAGAAAAGAGGGATAGAACAGAGTATGGAGGAAATAAGCGTGGGAAACAGTCAAGGTAGGCTGGAACAGGGGAGAAGTTTAGTTGAGGCAAAGGAATTAAGAATTACCAGAAGTACAAAGTCACGACAAAAGCTGAATAATGGGAGAGGAGTATAAGATTTGGTCAACAAATATTAGAGGGGTGAATGTACCAGCAAAATGTAGGAAGGTTTTTAATAAACTCCTTAAATTGAATGCGGACATTATAGCTTTACAGGAAGTTCATATAAAATCTGGCCAGGAATCTCTATTAGAATGACCTAAATTAGGTCGATTATATGTTTCACTTGATTGGAAAAAAAGGGGTGTTGCTTTGTACGTCAAGCAGAAGATAATCTCGAAACAAATATATAATGATAAAGAGGGCAGGGTTCTGATCGTTGAAGTTAAGCTTAATAAAAATAATATAATTTTTGTTGTAATATACGCTTCAAATGGTGCTCAGGTATCCTTTTTTAAAAATCTATACAATAGGCTGAGAGATATGGAGGGAGATGGTTTCTGTATAATCGGAGATTTTAATGCGATTGTAGATAAAACTAAAGACCATAAATGCACAGAGGCAATGAAAGGACATAAAAAAATACTTCCAAAAATTTTCTTTGAGATGTGTATGGATTTTAGTTTACAGGATGTTTGGAGAGAGAGGAATTTTGATAAGAGGGAATATATGTATTATTCCAGTAGGCACAGATCATGGACTAGAATAGATATGCTATGGTGTTCCAAAGAATTAGCCTCAGAAATACAGGAAATAGACATAGAACCCAGTCTCTGGGCTGATCATAACCCAATAAGTTTATACTTGAAAGGTCAAAGATATAGGCCAAGATGGACCTTCCAAAGAGGGATTCTGAAGGAAAAAGAATTTAGAGAAAGTGTGGAGAAAGAAATGCATCTTTTCTTTCAAGTGAATGATAATGAGGACACATCCTTGCAGAATCTTTGGGATACGGCTAAAGCATATTTGAGGGGGGTTATTATTTCATATACGGCTAAGAGAAATAAAGAGAAACAGCAATATAAGATGAGGCTTGAAACAAACTATAAACAGGCTGAAATATTACTTCAGAGAGATCCTGGAAATAAAGGATTGAAAATGAAAATGGACTTAATTAAACACAAACTTAACTTAGAGGAATCGGAAAAATATGCACAAAAATTACAGGCAGCTAACCAAAAAAATTTTGAGCACTG